AAAAAAAAAAAAAAATCAGATAAAGAAAGAAAGCATTTTGTATGCTTCTTTATTTCTTTTTTTTTTTTTTTTTGTACAATCGCCCACCTCATCTGCACTTCACATACATGAGCACAAAAGAAAGAAAAAAACAAAAAAACAAAATGTATCTCAACAATGGATTCATATTCACCGTTTCTTTGAATCCCGCTCTAACTGCTGCAGTGCCGCAAGAATATCAGCGGCTACTACAGGCTCAACAGAGATTGTATAATTCCCATGAAGTTTGTGTTTATCCAACTCTAGCACCGCACGCACGGCCTGCTCCACCGCCTGAAATGTTACCTCAAAGGCTCTCTCCTCTTCTTCTTCTTCCTCTTTGACAGCCGCAGTCGAAGTAGAAGAAATAGAAGTAGAAGAAATAGAAGTAGAAGTAGAAGAAGAATTACGATTTTCAGTATTATCAGAGTCATCTTTACAGTCATTTCCATTATCCTCTTGCTGCTGTGATCTATACCGGGGTGGCTTAGATCCCGCTGCAATAGTACTAGTAGTAGTATTAGTAGTATTATTTGTAGAGATAATTGGTATTCGCCGTACCACACATGTAATCACGTTCCCCACACGTGAAGCCAAATCACGAACATCTGCGGCCCCAAAGTTAACAGGAACACCTCGAATAAGAACCTTTTGACTACTAATACGTGTAGTACCAGTGTTATCCTTAAAAGGAAATGCTCCAGTATTCCTCAATAGTGTGGCCAATGCCTTTGGGGAAAGGGAAGAGGATGTCTTCTCTTCACTACATCCCGATACGGCAGCTGCCTTCACCTGATCTACAGCCAGTTCCACTTTCTCTTTCTCTTTCTGTTGTTCTTGTTGTTGTTGTTGTGTGTGCGGCAAAACTCTATCCAAGATAAGTTTATTCATTGTGAGTTGCTCAACACGTGCTTGCAGTGCCTCTACACGGGTATTGAGAGCGCTGATTTGCGCCGCAATTCCACTCATTGCTGTTGGGGCAACAACATTAGATGTCATCATCATTGCAGGAACGGAGGATACATCTGGAGTGGTAGAGCTTGTACTCATCGTAGGAAGTGATTTCTTTTCTTCCCTTTGTTGTTCTTTTTCTTTTTCTTCTTCTTCACACTCTTTAGTAGTGGAGGAAGACATTTTAGCATTTCCTGATAAAGATGCGGCGTATTTAAGAACCAGTTTTTCCATCTGCTGCACCAAAACCTCCACATTGCGGTGTTGCAAGACCACATCGGAAGCCAATCGTGTTGTTTCTGCAATTTTTTGTTGTGTTCGTGCGGCTTCTTCTTCCAAAGCGACAATGCGTCTTTCCATCACTGCCTGTTGTCTGTGCATGAGAGAAAAACCATTTACTTGTTGCTGGAGAACTGTATCAACCTGGGAGACTCTTTCACCAATCTTTCCTACTTGGTCTTGAAGTCTAAGCGTTAAATCCTCAAACTCTTTCCATTCGGAGGGTTTTTCTTCCTTCTTTTTCTGCTGGTCTGTTGAGATCCCGCGCGAGAGGAGTGATGATGAGAGAGAGGAGCGTGGCAGTGTGGCTCGACGCATTCCTCTTCTTATCATTGTTGGGGCAGCAGTAGTAGTAGTAGTAGTAGTAGTAATGGTAAAGAAAGAAAAAGGTCTTCTTGAGAGGAATAAAGAAGACATCGTTAATGGTGGGTATTACCTCTTCTAATATTTTGTTGTTATTAATATTATATTATTATTATTATTCTATCTAAACATATAAAAGATAACGAAAGAATAAAATAAATAAATAACCTTCCTCTTTGTTAATAGAGATATAATCAAAATCAATAACCATTATCGTCTTATACACATCACACCGTAATAATAACGAACAACGAACAAAATAATAATAAATTTTACTCCAATTTCACCATTACAGAGAATTGAACCCTCCATCCGGTTTTTGTATTTTTCTTCCTCTCTTTAATCCGTATTCAATATATTTTTTTCTCTCTCTCTCTCTCTCTCTCTCTCTCACTTTTACTTTTGTCCCCGATGGGACTCTTCAATGCGTCGTAATTTCCCCTCAAAGAAACGATGTCGACCCGCACGGCCCAGACGCACACCACCACACCGCCGTAGAAGTTCTTCATCCGTCATTCGCGTTATATCCACACGGTGATCATCATCACTATCACTATCACTACTACTATCACTATTATTATTATTATTATTACTACTGCCAGTCTCACTGCAGGAGCTGTCGGAGTCACGTGGCCTCTTCTGTTTACGATTCTTCTGATCATTTCCATTCTTACGCTTCTGAGAGTCATTAGGTGTATCCACAACCTCATCTGTATCTTCTTCTTCTTCTTCCTTTTCTTTATTCTTCTTTACTTTTTTCTGTTTTCCTGTTGCTGCTGAGATATCCGAGTAGACGGCGTCGAGCTCCACGGCGAAGGTTGAGGCCTGCGGTGCCTGCGTGGCATCAGCGGCGTGCCCCAATCCCGTCGTGCTCTTCGGATCCCGCCGCACAACTTTAATGTATGTTGAGACGCCCTGCGCATTGCGGCCGAGTCCCATGCCTTCCTGCCAGCCATGCCGCTCCAACATCTTTTTTGCAATGGAGGACATTTTCTTCTCTTTTCTCTTTTCTCTTTTTCCTTTTTTTTTTTTTTTTACTTCTGTGCCTCTTTGAGCTAAAGAGAAGAAGAAAATAATGTACACTGTGAGAAGAACCAATAGTGGGAAGAGAGACTGTAAACATGTGGAATGTGAGGAGAATGAACAAAGAGAGAAAAAAATAAATAATAGGACTATATATATATATATATATATATATGCGTGAGCAGCCTCATCGCATCTGTTTGATTGATTTCAGAAACTCAATCACATACACATCAGGGAAATAGAAATAATAATAAAAAAAAAGCACATTCTCTCATGTGCAGCACACGTTCCGCTTCTTCAGCAACGATGTTTTCTTTTTTACTTTTTACTTTTTTTTTGCGTGTTCCTTTTCATTCTTTTTTCTTTTTTTTTTTTCTTTTGCTTTTCATTTCTTGTTGCCTTTGATCCAATTCACAGACATATAGTAAAGTCTGTAAATATTCATTACCATCCACAGAGAAATATATCCCAGAGTGAAGAACATGAAAAAGTGCAGAGTTTCCTTTTTTTTTTTTTCATTTTTTTCATTTTTTTTTTCTTTTCTTTTCCTTGTTTCCTTTTAATGTGAAACAAACATCTCGTTATTATTATTATTTTTCTTTCCTTTTGCTTTTACAGTTGGGTTTGCTTGAAATGTAAACAACGGCACTGCCATTGATATTGCTATTGCTGTTAGAGGAGGGGGGTAGGGATGTACAGGAAAAGTGGTACAGTCAAGAGGGAAAAGAGAAGTAAAAATAAACAAACAAAAAAAAAAAAAAACAATAAACACATATCGAGTTTCCAGTCGTCTTCTTCATATATATATATATATCTTCTTTATTACAAAACGAGAATACAACGATCAACATCATCTACCACTTTCACGTTTCTTTTTCTCTTTTTTTTTCTTTTTTCCTTTTTTCTTTTTTCCAGTGTTCTTCTTCACTACATTCATTCATTTTCTCTTTATCTGATTCCTCATCCTCCTTTTTCGCCGTGCCGCAGAAGAAACACTCTCTTTTGGGAGTGTAAAGAAGAGACACACACACTCTCTTTCCCTATACATATATATATATATGTATAGAGAGAGAAAGAGAGTCTTTCCATCTGGCAAATTGCCTTGCGCACACGGCAAGAAAAAAAGAAGGAATGAAGAACACCGAAAGAGTAAAGCAACGAAAAAAAAA